CTAGTTTTGAGTATCTGTGCTTGATAAATAACTGAAACATTCATTCATTTACCAAAAATTGTGAGCAGTTTGTTTTCTATTAACTGTCTGTTCTGTAATCATATGGTTTGAGTGTCTGTCTTTATTTCTCTGTGAGCGTTGGACACTTTTTTTTCTTCAATCAAACACTCACTTTAACCCTTACTGGAATCCAGAGTAAAACCTGTACCTGGTATGCGTATCAGCAGGCTAAGCAGGCTGGGCCTTCACAAAGAGCCATTCATACGGCACTAAATATATTTGCAGTTTGTTTTTTTCTTTTCTCCAACATACCTCAGCTCCCCCGTCATTTTGAATCCTGTAATCTGGAGATACAGAAAATGTGTTGGTGTCAGTGCTACTAAAAACATGCACATGGTTTATTGTATAGGGTTTTTAAGTATTTTGAGGCCATACCTGACTTGAAACTTCTCAGAAATTGGGCTTTTTTGTTTCTCCAGCATTTCCTCATGTCAAGTCCCTTCCTTCTCTCATACTCTGTCTTCTCCTCTGTCTCTCCCATTGAGGATGCCATATGGTTATGGGCTCCAAGCTCGTTGGGGTGCTGAGTGGAAGAGGGGGATGGGAGGCCCAGGGGCTGTTTCCATCCTTTACCGTTTTCGTCTTTTTCCTGGTGTTTTTCTTGTCTTTGCCACCCCCTTCCCTGTAAATTAGGTCAGGATGACGGAGTCATCATGTTGACCCAGAGCTTGTGTTTCTTAGCCAGGTGATTTTTGCTTTGTGTGTCATGACTTGGCCCTCATCCCCGTTTCATGCTTTCCTCATCGCTCCCCTTGTTGTTTCTCTAGATACCTGCCTTTGTTCTTCCTTTGACTAAAATAGGGAAAAACTGCAGTCTGACTCCCCTACTGAGTCCAGAGAGTCGTGTTTAATTTTTTTTTTTTTTCACTGCCAAAACAAGCATTCCAGCAGCACAGCGCATGTGGAAAAACTCATCTCCACCGCTAGACACAACTCTGTATCCCCCTAAGAATCATATCGCAGGCCAGTTTTTCTTCTGCTTGTGAGGTGAATTAAAACGCAGAGAGGCAGTGGAGAAGAGTGTGGAAGGACTATTAAAGGTGACTTTAGAGAACACAATCCCACACCACAATAATGGTGCCATCACGTTCTATTCCACTTGTGACTTCAGTCATTATTTTTCTTTCCAGGATAATTTTTAACCGGATTTTCAAAATGCATATCAGTGTGCACCTCCATTAGCTGCAGTTATGCAGGTAGTTTAAAGAGGACACAGCTGACTGGGTGTTGCATAACCAGGAGTGCCGCAGCTGTTGACATGCAGTTGAGCTCCGAGTTAACGACAGAATATACATTACAATTCAAGCATGTTTTGAGCCTCAGCCTGTCACTGTTCATTAAGCATTTGTGTGATTAAATTATCACAGTCTTTTTTGAGATCTTTTTTTGTTCCATGTTGGGGTTATCACCAAAACATAGAGGTTGCTCGAGTATCATCAGTTCTCAAAAGCAAGTAGTTGTATTTGGAGCTACTAGGTTGTGGCAGAAATCACAATTATGTTGGTCAATATTCAGAACATGATTATCTAAGACGCAAACTCACATAGTTTGGAGAAATAATAGACTTTATTTAAGTTTATTAAGTTGTCTTTTAATTGAGTCTTTCGATTTAAACTGGATTAAGTGCACAGCCCTGGTTGTACTGTATGTTGGTGAAAGTTTGGAAGGTTTACTTATGTTCATTCACCACCGTTAAAATGTCTGAAATGTCTTTATTTATTTTTCTTTTCCTCTACACTCTTAAGCTGCTTAGAATGAATTACTTCCAATTTGTACTCCGTTTCTGTTGGTAGTCTCTCGTGTTTGTGATATAGCTGAGACTCGGACAGGTTTGGAAAATGCCTGACTGGCCTAAATTACATCTCTAAAGCGAGTGGGGGCAAGATTTTGATTCTCAGGGCTGGGCGATATGGCCTAAAATCCATATCACAGTATAATTTGAAGCATGTGCATAACGATATATATTGCGATTTTACACACTAGAAGGCACACTTAAAATCCTTCAATTTTCTCAAAAATCGACAGTGTGTCTTATGTATGAATTCTGGTTGTGCTTACTCACCTCGAACCGATTTTATGTGCTACACAGCGCACAGAAATCTGTCAAAAATGTTTTAGTATGACTTTGGTAAGCTATGAAGCCGCACCGCTTGATGGATTGTCGGCGCATTACGGCTACCGTAGTCAGGAGCCTCGCGGAGTAATCTGGGTCCAAAACTCCGTCTACTTCAGGTCCCAAAGTCAAAGGAACATTTCGGCATCGTTGCTGAGAGTTAAAAACTGTGTAAATTCTTTCATCTTTAATAAAATGATCAGCGTTGCTGCTTTACCAGATGTAACAATTAAGTTTAGCATCCAGGCATCCATGAAAACAGAAGTTAGCTCGCTAGTTTCTATATATAT